ATATATATATATATATATATATATATATATATATATATATATATATATATATATATATATATATAACATATATATATATATATATATATATATATATATATATATATATATATATATATATATATATATATATATACGAGTAGGTTTGTGTATACGAAACGCAAAGAGTGCTCAATATCATAAAGATAGAGCAAATGTAGAATTTCGCTTACCTCAAAATTCCGCAACAGTCTGTTTCATCAGTAAATAATCATCAGGCGGTATGACAAGTTTCGCAAAATAGGGCTGCTTATATGTGTTTTGGCCGGAACGGGGGGGTGTGTTGGTGAAACAAATCATGCATTCATCTATTGTTTGCGTTGTTTACGCGGAAATGCCTACTCGAATTGTGGGAGTGTATTGTTTGCGTTGTTTACGCGAAATTTCTTCCTATGTCTGCACGTAGATATAATTTCCATTCTTTTATTGGGTAAACGGTTTTGGTTTTCTTTCAAAATACAAAATTTTTCCTCTAAACATAAATTACATCGTTTTGATCCTCCCGTATACGAAATAGCGCGTTTCAAAATTCGCCAATTGATATTAAAATCTTTCTTGCTATCTTTCAATGTCCAAATATATTTCGAAAGTTCAGTTTTGTTTGAGTGCTCTTTATGCTCGAAAGTATAGTTATGGTTAGCCAAACGCTCTTTAAATGTAGTTGATGTCATGCCAATATAATTAATGATCGTGTTAGGGTTGCTTGTTGTGACTGTTGCTTTGTATACTACGTCCTTAGTCATGCATTGTTTCTGAATTTATGTTTAGAGGGAAAATTTTGTATTTTGAAAGAAAACCAAAACCGTTTACTCAATAAAAGAATGGAAATTATATCTACGTGCAGACATAGGAAGAAATTTCGCGTAAACAACGCAAACAATACACTCCCACAATTCGATTAGGCATTTCCGCGTAAACAACGCAAACAATAGATGAATGCATGCTTTGTTTCACCCACACACACCCACGTTCCGGCCAAAACACATATAAGCAGCCCTATTTTTCGAAACTTGTCATACCGCCTGATGATTCTTTACTGATGAAACAGACTGTTGCGGAATTTTGAGGTAAGCGAAATTCTATAAATATATATATATATATGTATATATATATATGTATATATATATATATATATGTATATATATATATGTATATATATATATATGTATATATATATATGTATATATATATATGTATATATATATATATGTATATATGTATGTATATGTATGTATATGTATATGTATGTATATATATGTATGTATATATATGTATGTATATATATGTATGTATATATATGTATGTATATATGTATGTATATATACCAACTTACGGGAAAATATATTTATTAAGAGATCAAAAGCTGATGATAATTGCACCTTTATTAAATGTAGATGTAAAATAACAATAACGAAAATAACAATAACAATAACGAAAACCACCGCAGCGGCCAATATAGTCGTCCATCGCTGAATCCAGGTAGAGATTTGAGAGTTGAGACTAAAACATCATGTCATCGGGTTTGTCAAAGTCCTTGCTCTAATACATCTCGGGAAAATCGTTTTAAAATTTTGTGCATCACCACAATTGTATATGTTCTTTAATTCAGTATGGTAGTACTCTCGCATTACAGACTTCAATGAGTTAAAGTTCTCCATATACTCAAGTCAAGTATGTATTTCACTCTGTCTAATGCCAGTCAATTTTACTCGTCAGCGGTAATTTAAAAGTACTGACAGTAAATGGGTAACAATACTACATATCAGGCAGTGTCTCCCCGTTAATTTACCTGCTTACGGTCCTTTCCAATCTCACCATCGTAAGATGCAATTTCACCAGCATCCCACTGGCACACATGAAATTGAAATTGGTATCGTTGGAAAGCAGAAGTCCTCCTCTTTCGAACGATGCAATTTCTGTTTCCATGCAATGTATAGTTTGAGAGATATAAGCGTTTGAAACAACGCCACTCGAAATTGCTACTTTTCGACCGGATGGGAATGAGTTAAGAAGATTGCATCTTTAGATCACCCCTGATGAAGACGCTAGATTGGAGTGTCGAAACGTTGGGTCTTGATTACAATTCGACTGGGCTTTGTAATCATTTATTTAAACCAGAGTAGCGAGCGAAACATGACAGTGTTGTGTGTTTTACGAACACAAGGTCATATCATAATTATTTTTATTGATAGCAACTTCATATGAAAAGTGTTGTGCTACAGTTCTTGAGATTATCCAACTTCTATCAGATTTGGGATTTGTAGTGGATGTAGAAAAGTCAGTGTTTGTGCCTCAGCAGAAGGCAACCTTTTTAGGTTTCGTTATAAATTCAATAACAATGAAAGTAACACTGACTGATGAAAAAGTTGACAAGATAACAAGTTTTATTTCAGAGTTACTTGTGTCCCAGTCACCCACAATTAGGGAAGTTGCACAGGCAATTGGCTATATTGTATCTAGTCTACCAGCAGTTAAATATGGCAAATGCCACTACCGTGCTATAGAGAATGACAAAATATCTGCCTTAAAAGAGGCCAAAGGAAATTTTGATTCTGCCATGTATCTATCCCCTCCTGTGGTTGCAGAGTTACAATGGTGGGTAAATCATTTACCCATTGCATTTCATTTTATTCAAGCATCTGAGATAGATTGTATAATAAGCTCAGATGCCTCCCTTACTGGTTGGGGTGGAGCTATGAATAATATCTCCACAGGGGACACTGGCAGCCCAGTGAAGCAAAGCACCATATAAACTACTTAGAACTTTTGGCAGCTTATTTTGTGTTGAAGTCCTTTCTGAAAGATGTTATGGGCTATTACCAGTGCTGTAATACGAAGATTCTACTGTATAAAGATTGGACAACGACAACTGATAAAGCAAAAGGTTTATGGTCGCAATAGATGACATAGAGAAAGTATTTAGCTGAGTTCAGGATGGAGCTCTATTTTGCTGTATTTTTGCTAGCTTTGTTTACGGTGACATTACCGAGTTCACACCATATTTTTCGAACTGAAGAGTACGGTAAGAGCGGTCTTGGTACAAAGAAAGCTGCTGTTGTAAGTCACCGGCAGATAGCCTTGGCTTTCGAGTTTAATTTTACTGGGGATTGGTTAACTTTGGACACAGATAAGTATTATATATTAAAAGGAACGAATTGTTATGAAAAGAATATATCGCTTCATTGCGTTTGGTGTTGGGCTCTAATTTGCATGTACCCTAATCCCGTAGTCGTTTTTGTGTGTCAACGTCATCAGCGCCCTGATGTCTCATTGTTCCTTATTTGGACAAAAAGACACAAGGGACCATGTGCTTACTATCCAAATTCTACAGCGTCATTTCACCTATTGTTAATTGGCGATTTAATGTTCAAACTTAATCCAGGACCTGATTCCAAACAACAATGCCCTATAAAACCAATTGTATCTGTGCGAGGAAGTAGTTCGTTTGTGCCTATTGTTGAACGAAACCCAAACAATCTAATTAAGATCAATTGTTTGCCAGTGATCCGCAACGTTAATCATCAATTGTCTTTTTGTCTACTGAATGCAAGGTCTGTCAGAAATAAGTCAGCAGATATATTTGACTATGTTTGTGATTCTAAAGCTGACATATATGCTATTACTGAAACATGGCTCACCTCGGTTGATGCTGCTGTTTGCACGGAGCTGTGTCCTAGTGGATATAAGCTTGTAGACCAGCCTCGTAGAAGTCGTCGTGGGGGTGGCACCGCACTTTTGTACAGCGACCGTCTTAATGTAGTAAAAAATAACGCGGATGAAATGGAGTCATTCGAGTATTCCGACTGGTGTGTGCAACTTCAGCCAACACAGAAACTTCGCTACTGGATGATTCTGACGCGATGTCGGAATTATGCACGAATCCTCCAAACGATCTAGATGAATTGGTTGCTTGTTATAATAACACTTTGAAGGCACATTTCGATAAATATGCACCACCTAAAACAAAAACGATAACAATAAGAGCGCGGGTGCCTTGGTTTAATGAACAGCTTAGGAAAGCAAAGCATGAAAGACGGAATGCAGAGAGGAAATGGAGAGTGTCTAAGTCAGATGTAGACTTTGTTAATTTCAAAGGCAAGCAAAACTTAGTTAACAGACTCATGTGTAAAGCGCGTACAAAATATTATACGAGTTTCATTGAGGAGAACAGTGGTGATCAGAAAAAATTGTTTAATGCAAGTAAACGCCTGTTTGGTCAACATCATGATGATGGTCTTCCTCCTAATTTAAACTGTGAAGCTTTTGTTAGTGACATCGGAAAGTATTTTGTACAAAAGATTGGAAACATACGGAGAAAACTAGATAATAACAAGGTGCATGCCTTATCTAGATATTTGCAGAATACTTCTGTTCCACATGCCGTCGAGGAGTCCGTGCCAAAGTTTTCGGAGTTTAGTGCCCTTACTGAACTTGATGTAAAAACTCTAATTGGTCGTGCTGCATTGAAGACCTGTAATTTAGATCCAATGCCATCAAAGTTGGTTTCCCAGTGTGATGCATTGTTTCCCATCATAACACGAATTATCAACCTCTCTTTACAAACTGGCCAGTTTCCACAGTTATGGAAAGAGGCACTTGTCCATCCACTCCTAAAAAAAGCTGGGTTTGGAAGCCATTTTCAAGAATTTTAGACCGATATCCAATTTAACATTTGTGTCAAAACTTGCAGAGAGAGCTGTGTTTGAACAGATGCATGTTCATATGGTAGATCATGATTTGTATCCACCAGGACAGTCCATCATATCGGAAAAACCACAGTACTGAAACTGCACTGCTGAAGGTGAAAAATGACTTACTGATGAACATGAACAAACAACATGTTTCACTCCTTGTTTTTCTGGACATGAGTGCGGCCTTTGACACAGTAGATCACGGTATTATGATAGAGCGTTTATCATCTAAACTAAGATTTTCCGGTACAGTAATCAGTTGGTTCCAGTAATACCTATGCGGGAGATCTCAGTGTGTCACTGTTCGTGGTACTGTCTCTGATAGGTTTGATGTGGCCTATGGCGTTCCTCAGGGATCTTGTTTAGGACCTCTATTGTTTACAATTTATGTGAGTAAACTGTGTGATATCGTTCAGAGGCACTTACCAGACGTTCATTGCTATGCCGATGATTCACAGTTGTATGTTGCATTTAGACCTAAAGTCGAATCTGAGCAATCGGATGCTGTCACAGCAATGGAACGATGCATTGAAGACATTAGGAAATGGATGAGTGAAGACAAGTTGCTTTTGAATGATGAAAAGACTGAGTTCCTCCTTATCGGAACTAAACAACAACTCGCCAAGGTTAACCTCGATCACATTACTGTTGGAACCACTGATATTGCTCCTCAACCTGTTGCCAAAAATCTCAGGGTATGGATGGTCTAACCTTACCATGAGTACACACATTTTAAGAACTAGTTCCTGTGGGTTTTATTTCTTATATAACATAAGACGTATCAGAAAATATCTTACCAGAGAATTGACTGAGACATTAATACATGCATTCATATCAAGTCGTTTGGACTATTGCAACAGTTTGTTGTATGGACTACCCAATTGTCAGCTGGCTAAGTTACAAAGAGTGCAAAATGCTGCTGCACGTCTAATATTTCAGGAATCGAAGTATTGTCGAATTACACCTCTCTTGAAGAACTTACATTGGCTACCCGTCAAATATCGTATTAACTTTAAAGTACTTTTACTTACGTTCAAAGCCATTCATGGAATGGCTCCACAGTATCTAAGTAACCTTCTCAAGAAATCTAATAGATACAGTCTTCGTTCTAGCAATACTTTATTACTTAGCACTCCGTCCCTCAAGTCATTTAAGACTTTGGGAGATAGGGCATTCTGTATGGCTGCCCCAGCGTTGTGGAAAAGTCTACCATACTCTATTAGAAATTGTAGCGCTGTAAATAATTTTAAACAATTAGTTAAGACGTTTTTATTTCGTCAAGCTTTTGATTAGCTTGGAACGGTTTTTTAGTGTAATATATTTGTAAAATTCTTAACTTCTGTAATGCGCATTTGAAAATTGTATGGTTGATAAATGCGCAATATAAGCTAATAAATTATTATTATTATTACATATCAAAATGATGATTGATAACACAACTGCTGTTTCTGTCATACATAATATGGGTACCTGTCATAGTGACCCATGTAACTCAATTGCCCTGTCAAATTTGGACACTGTGTGAGGAAACTTGTATTTGGCTTACAGCAGCCCATATTCCAGGCAAAGAAAACGTTATGGATGCTCAATCCAAAGTATTTATCTCAGGCATTAGAAGGGATACACTTCACTCCTGTGATTGATTTATTTGCGCCCCTCATTAATAAGCAATTTGACCAGTATGTGTCCTACAGACCAGATCCATTTGCTAGCGACATCGATGCATTTACTATACCCTGGGCAGATACAAATTTCTACTGTTTTCCTCCATTCAGTTGTATACTCAGAGTTGTAAGAAAGATCATACACGACAGAGCCAGGCGAGTTCTAGTAGTACCACAATGGCCAACACAGTCATGGTACCCTATGCTCTTACCAATACTGGCGCAACCACCGGTTGTCCTTTCACCACCTCAGAATCTGTTACTGCTGCCGTCCAAGCCAGCGCAGAGACACCCTCTACACAAGAAGCTAAGACTAGCTATTTGTCTTGTATCAGAGGAAAATTACAGGTAAGAGGGTCCTCTACAGATACGATTGACATCATTTTGAGTTCTTGGCGTGAAGGTACACAATCTCAGTACCAGTCTGTTGCTAAGAAATGGTTTGAATTTTGTGAAAAGAATCATTGTGATGTTGTTTCTACTCCTGTGCCTTTAGCAATGAGTTTTCTCTCTGAATCATTTCATTATGGCTTATCATACAGCTATATTAACACAAATATATATATATAAATATATAA